CTGTGCCCCCTTCAAATGCTAGGAGGCATGAAGCGACGAGCATGGGATCGTCAAAGAAACTGAAATGACTGAAATGAAAATACGCGTCATATTTAACCACTAAATATATTGTATTTTGCATAAAGAAAAAGTATTCTAGAACCATTGCATTTTTTCATTTCATTATTTTTAATGACAATCAAGCCCATTTTCTTCAAACAAACAAATAAATAAATAACAATATTGTAAATATAATGTATAAATTATAATTTAGAATATAAAAAAATTTCATCATGGATAATATTAAATTTTAATATAAAATAAATGTAAAATGTATTAAAATTAATTAGAATATTTCCATAGCATTACGCTGCATAAATCACCAATGATTATATTAGGATGGGATCGTCAAAGAAACTGAAATGACTGAAATGAAAATACGCGTCATATTTAACCACTAAATATATTGTATTTTGCATAAAGAAAAAGTATTCTAGAACCATTGCATTTTTTCATTTCATTATTTTTATGACAATCAAGCCCATTTTCTTCAAACAAACAAATAAATAAATAACAATATTGTAAATATAATGTATAAATTATAATTTAGAATATAAAAAAAGTCATCATGGATAATATTAAATTTTAATATAAAATAAATGTAAAATGTATTAAAATTAATTAGAATATTTCCATAGCATTACGCTGCATAAATCACCAATGATTATATTAGATTTAATCTAATATAATCATTGGTTATTTATGCACCATATCGCAATGATAACATTCAATATTTTATCATTTATATTTCTTTAATGTAAAATTATATATATTATAATATAATATTTTTATATAATATTTTCCCCCACCCCATTAGATTATATTATACAAAATATATTTTTTAATTATTAGAATATTGTACTATTGTATTATATAAATTGAAATTAGAATAATGTTATTAAAAGCCATAATGGATGGACTATTATATTATATTACATTACATTACAATTATATAAGAAAGGGGAAACATGACAACCCCTAGACTCCAGTGGAGTCCCAGTTTCATTGCATTAATGTAATGAAACTTGGGAGAAATTGTACTTAATTGTCATGAAAATATCACAATGCAAACAGTTTTTCTAAAAACAAGATCTATCTATATTTAAAGTTACCTACTGTAGATGTGGCAAACTGAGAATATCAAACTGGGGGGGACAATAAAAGGTGTACAGCATAGCACTTTTGACAAACTAGAGACATCCTTCACAGTGCTTTCAAGACATCTCTGTTGCCATGGATACAACAGAGGGGTTGTCATGGGCTTGAGGGTTTTGGGTGTTGTCTTCAGACTTGAAACAAGATTACAATTTTTTTTAAGTTACCTACTGTAGATGTGGCAAACTGAGAATATCAAACTGGGGGGGACAATAAAAGGTGTACAGCATAGCACTTTTGACAAACTAGAGACATCCTTCACAGTGCTTTCAAGACATCTCTGTTGCCATGGATACAACAGAGGGGTTGTCATGGGCTTGAGGGTTTTGGGTGTTGTCTTCAGACTTGAAACAAGATTACGGTTTCTCTATCTTATCAAAGCAACATGAGCATGTGATAATCAGACCAGAATATCCAAACTGACTTGACCTTCTCTTACTTTCAATTCTGTAAGCACAGAAAAAGCAAACCAGCTCCACACCCCACAAAAACAGACGCATTACGCATCTTTCTATTTACAACATATTTCATCATACATTATGTGCTCGGGAAACACAGAAACTACACATAAACACCATTTAAAACCTAAAAAAAACACTTAACCAGATTAGCTCAGAGGCAGAGCCCATGGGAGGGTGGAGTCTTGCGTCTGGTATCGGTTGCACTCTGAAAGAAGTCCCGGTATCATGTCTTGGCGCTACTTTGGCATTCTCTAGCACTGAGATACTGCAGATGTGTCAATGTGACCCCACCTCTATAATTAAAGACATCTCCCACACGTCTAATGTCAGCATCTCTACCAGCCTCCCCAATTAGGCAAGACAAACTATCGTTGCTGTGCATGACATGCATGCACACACACCCTTCACATAAAATATCAACCCTCTGCCAAAAAAAAAAAAAAAAGACAAGACCAAGGGCTGGGACTGCAGACAGGAATTCTGGGCCATGCTGGAGGGATTTGGCTTATTGCCCAGCATGTTAAACACAAGAGGTGTGACTAAACGAGAGACGCTGAACGAGACGCTGAACACTGCACGGTGCAACAAATTAATAAGGTCAAACAGCCCTGCATGAGCAGTCGTGGATATAAAGGAATGTGGCAATGGTTTTCGATGCGAACGAACCTGCATTACATCCATGAGCGAGCAGCAATTTCAGTTCTTCACTTTAATACTTACACTGTCACTGCAAGTCTGTGCTTGTAAGCTTGATCATAGAAGAATGCTATAACTGCTTGTTACAGCAATAATTTAAAATGTTGAGGTGGATTGCTTTCAGATATTACCAATGGCATCATTATTCTACTTTGAAATTAATGACAAAGGAGAAAATATTATCACACAAATTATCACAGGAGGATTATTTTAATCATCCAAACCATCAGTAAACAGACCCCACACAGCTTCAGTATCAGTCTATGATCTTTGTGGTAAAGCTAAGGCATGAGAAAACCCAAATGCAAAATCGCTTGACAAGCAGTCTTCTTTGCCAAATTGACATATTTCCTTTTGAAGGAAAGAAGGAAGTTGGAATCACGGTGAAGATTTAAAGGAATAGTTCACCCAAAAATGAAATTTTGCTTAAAGTTTACACACTCTCAGGCAATCCATTATGTAGATGAGTTTGTTTCTTCATTGGAACAGATATGGGGAAATGTAGCATTACATCACTTGCTCACCAATGGATCCTCTGCAGTGAATGGGTGCCGTCAGAATGAGAGTATTTTAGCCAGAAGCAACAGTTTAAAGCTATAACACCTTAATGATGGATTTGTTTATTACAAACGTGCAGCGTTTCACTTTGCAAGACGTTAACTGATGGACTGGAGCTGCGGATTACTATGATGTTTTTATCAGCTTTGAACTCTCATTCTGATGGCACCCATTCACTGCAGAGGATCCATTTCTTGAGCAAGTGATGTAATGCTACATTTCTCCAAATATGTTCAGATGAAGAAACAAACACTACATCAATCTAGATCTTCAATCTACATCTTGAATGGGCTGAGGGCGAGTCCATTTTCAGCAAATTTTCAATTTTGGGTGAACCTTTCTTTTTTTTTAAAAATGGTTTGTTTGTTAATGAAAGGCTTAAAGGGATAGTTCACCCAAAAATGAAAATTCTGTCATTAATTACTCACCCTCATGTCGTTTCAAACCCGTAAGACCTTCGTTCATCTTCGGAACACAAATTAAGATATTTTTGATGGAATCTGAGAGCTGTCTGACCCTGCATAGAAAGCAACGCAACTGTAACGTTCCCAAGTCCAGAAACGTAGCAAGGAGATCTGTAAAATAATCCATGTGACATCAGTGGTTCAACCGCAATTATACGAAGCTACGAGAATACTTTTTGTGTGGCTGAATCAGCTGGAAATAAACAACGTATGCTGTTCTGTGTCAGCTGCATCACGCCGGATCGGTTTCCTACGTTGTTGTGATTTGATCTGAACGGAAACAGCGTATCCGTGTGACGCAGCTGACACAGAACAGCATACGTTGTTTATTTCCAGCTGATTCAGCCACACAAAAAGTATTCTCGTAGCTTCGTATAATTGCGGTTGAACCACTGATGTCACATGGATTATTTTACAGATCTCCTTGCTACGTTTCTGGACTTGGGAACATTTCAGTTGCATTGCTGTCTATGCAGGGTCAGACAGCTCTCAGATTCCATCAAAAATATTTTAATTTGTGTTTAATTTCTGGACTTGGGAACATTTCAGTTGCGTTGCTGTCTATGCAGGGTCAGACAGCTCTCAGATTCCATCAACAATATCTTAATTTGTGTTCCGAAGATGAACGAAGGTCTTACAGGTTTGAAACGACACGAGGGCGAGTAATTAATGACAGAATTTTTGGGTGAACTAACCCTTTAAGTTTAGATGGATATATATTCTAAATGTCCCCTTTGACTATTTTTAGGGGAACACGAACATATTACTACACGACCTCAAATCTAGCAGACTAAATGCCACAAACTCACAGGGTCTTCGTGGATTGGATCATATTCCAAAGAATACCATGGCCTCAGTTTTATCCCCAACAACCGCAGTATCAAGCTTATTACAGGAGAAAAAACTACTACAAAAGCGCCAAAAACCAATGCACACTCCATCATTCAAAACCACAAGTTACTAACAATCACTACGCTCCATTGCACTACACTTACTGCATACTTCTGTTGTGAATGAACACCATCTTGCTCCTGATATTTTATCTCCAAGTCTCACTTTGTAAAACATTTCATTATCAAAACACATGTCACATAAAAAGAAACATTTCTTTTTCAATAAATACCAACATTTCTACTGCAGTGCATGAAAAGTAGATCTTCATTTGGTTAATCATTAACTTCCCTTTGTCCTTCGTGAACTGCAGCAGAACATCAGGTAAAACAGTGACAACTACTGTCTGAATTCAACTGAAGTAAACTAGCATGTAAGTGAGTTTTAAATGGCAACATTGTATCAAACTGTCATGAGCTGGTAAGTGGACTAAAGAGAAACACTATAAAGTGCACTTTCTGAAGTGAACTAGATCAAAGTGATGAAATAATCACAAACAGACAGGGGTTCAACACAAACAAACGTTCTGAAAATGGAAATAAATGTGTTTCATTTGTTTTATAAATCAGACGGGAATCTTTCGCCCACTGAACCGCCGATTTTGCTGGATCTCTATGTCCCACCCTTCAAAGCCAAATCACTTCAAAATAAATCCAAAGTCGGCTGTATTTATAATATTTGTTTTTCTGGACGTGTCATTTAGCTGTCAGTTTGAGGTCTGAGATTGAGAATTTACCTCGTAAACAGTCCCATCCTCCCCGCGAACGCTCTGGGCTCGTGCGCTCTCACTCCACTGTGCAACAATACTGCACGATCCGTCATCCTTCTGGCTTGACATCAGTGCGCATGCGCAAACGTTGGGGCGCATGTTTACATGGGAAATGTAGTTAGAAAACGAGGTGGACACAAAATCTGTTTGGACGTTTAAACCACAATGAAAACAATATTTTTGACATGCATTTCCCATAGTCAGATAAAAATAGACAAATAGACAAGCTTTCATTTGACCTTTTATTTGTATTTTGTTTTAGAAATGGCAATGCCAAAATGAATAATCCTGTTGTGGTCTCAAATCTTGCTTTGTTTTCCATTCTGTAGCATTGAATTACTACAATAATTTCTGCTATAACATGAACCCCTGGAAGTCCTGCCAAATCTCGGGGGTTGATTAGAGTAGATAAACATGAAATTAGTTCACAGCAACACACAATTACGTGACCATTAACATAATGAACACTAATTAGCAAGCAAATCTTACATTTGAGACAAATTTGCATTATTATACAGGGCTGGATGAATACATCACTCCATTTCTTTTTCTTTCTTTCTCTCTTTCTTTCCAGAAAGTATTTATACAATAAGATGTCAATTCTGATGCAACGATAAGAAGCATGGCAGTGCAATAAGTCAAGATGTAAAGTTCATATTACATACAACAATACAAATGAAGAATACTCATTTTACTTTTTTATGCATGAAATAACAATTGAACACTGATGTTCCATTAACAGTCTTTCTCTAAATACTTTGTATACGTCATGTGAGGCTCAATGTAGCTCTCGTTCCACTTAAAAGCAATTGAGGGAAGAGATCCATATTTATTTAGGCAAAAGCAGGCCACAGACAGACTTACAGAGGATTATGGGAATGACTGTACATGGTGGGCCGTATGGTGGAATTACAGACATGGCAGCAGCTGGTGATGGAGATTGGGACATGATGGGGCCACACTAACCCATGATCAAATTTTAATTCCCAAAACTACAATACAATAGCAGAAATACTGCCTGCTCTCATTTATTTCCAGGAATCAATTAGTAAAAAAAAATTAAGACTCACCAGAGTTCCTCTCTGAACATGAGAGTCAATTCTTGATTATTATTTTTGATTTTGATGTGTTGTTGGTATTTATTATTATTATTACTACTACTATATGTCCTTCTTGTTGCTGTTGTTGTAGCTATATAGTTTTTTTATAATTACATAGCCTAAGCATTTGGGGACAAATACTGTAATAATAATGAGTATTAACTTGTGAAAGTTTCATAAGAATACCTCATATTTTATAGAATTAGTATTCTTTTAACCCTGTAAGCCAGTATCTAGCAAAGTCTACAGACCTTATGAGAAACAGAGAAACAAGTGCAGCCATCTTTAGAATTTTCTTTTTGAACTTCTGTTTAAGAGTAATTAGCTGGTGAATTGGATTTACGTTTTGTAGAGTTAACGAAAGTTATCATGAGCATTGCAATATTCGAAGTGTATGTCACAACAAACGTCAGTAGACCGAGAATTATATTAAAAAAGAGCGGTGCATGCATTAAGATAAAGATTAAAGACTACAGCCAAGTGGTTTACATTATACTGTTGCATGAGCAATTTTCCGTTAGTCCCAAAATCTGATATAGAAGCTTATTTCTGCCACGAAATTTAAAAAATAAAAACGGTCATTGTAACTTTTTCTCAAAAATGTGACTTTATATCTCACAATTCTGCCTTTTTTTTTTGCACAACTCTGACTCAGTTATGAGTTTGTATCTCAAAATTCTGACTTTTTTCTTAGAATTGAGACATGAACTCGCAATTGCCATAAAAAAAATACAGAATTGTGGCAAGTTTATTTGCGCCAATGAATTTAAAAAAATAACAACAACAACAAATTTCAATTGCTAGTTTTTGTCTTTCAATTCAGACTTGTTTCAACAATTCTGACTTTTTTCTCAGAATTGCACGTTTGTCTCGCAATTCCACTTTTTTTTTCAGAATTATAACATATGAACTCACAATAGCCAGAAAAAAAGAGAGAATTGTTAGAATTGTGACCCGCTTGTTTCCGCCAATAATTTTTTTTTTTAATTCTTGCAATTACGAGTTTATATCTAGCAATTTTCTACTAGGAATTGCGAGTTTATACATAAAGATTGTAAGATATAAACTTAGAATTGCAAGAAAAAAAGTCAGCATTGTGAGATAAAAAGCCACAATTATGTTTTTTATTATATTTTATTTCTTTCTTTAATTCTGGGGCGGAAATAAATTTCATTAATCTGAAGACTTTGCATGTCCACAAGAAAGTTGTCAAGCGAACAAGAGAAAGGTCTTTTCTGTGTGTCACTTTAACTTCTACACACAGGCAATAGTTTAATGTCTGTCTTAGATAATAAAACGTCTTATTTTAAATTAATTTATTTTATTATGTAGCAGTATAATTAGCATGCAGAGAAAACATAAAGTTGATTTAATCACCATGATTTGATTTATGTTGCGATGATGACAAGACGACTGTACATTATCCCTTACAGTCAATAATTCAACTTTAAGGTTACAACATAATACTAATAGCATATTTTTAAAGTTACATTGTTTAATGTACACTGCCCTGAAAAAACACTGGTCATTGTTCACTTGCAGGACACAAATATTAAAACGACAGACATTAGCACCACTTGCTGGTTACCGGTAGTAAGTGACAACATTCTGAGGCAATCCATCCAAGGATTTTATTCACTAAAACAGAAAATCTGAAGATTTTTTCTAGTTCTGGATGTTTGCTCAAAACAGACTCATCTGATAGATAGTTTGCTCTCAGCTGTTTGAAATACAGTAGATTATCCATATTATCTTTTAATTTATTTAACACGACATGTCAGTGCAACTAAAAGCAGATGCTTTGACCATTTTTCTCAGATGTGAGAATCTACAGATGTGGTCTTTTCCGTATGACTGCCTGTAGATGCTGCAGCTGAGCCAGGTTCATGCTGCCGCCCCCACACACGATCATTACCAGCGAGTCGAGCGGTTTAGGAAGGCGTCCCTCTTCCTGTAGCCTCTGGATGACACCGCTGTACACTGCAGCCAATGACGCTCCGCAGGCCAACTCCACCAACACTCGTTCCTCGTCTGGATACAGTATACAGTAATCGACTGCAAAGCAAGCTTTGTTGTTACTGAGCGGTTTGATTGCCTTAAAGAACTTACCCAGGAACAGTTCCACTGCCTCCAGGGCCTGCAGATCTGTCACCACCTCTGAAATGGCATTGGGCCGTTTGCTGTACTCAAACGCTTGCTGGCATGCCGTTTTTGCTCCCAAACATGTCGCTTCACTAGTGGTTTACAGAAACATTTAGATGTTCAAACATAAAATGTGGCAATTGTTCATGAATGTGAGATGATTTCTTAATTTGTACCTTGTAATGTCAGGCAGTGTAACCAGATCTCTGGCTTTCAGAGCAACACTGAGACAATCGGCACCCACGGTCTCCATACACAGGACAGGCACATCTCCCCAGCCCACCTCATCCAGCCCTTCCATTATCCCACAAAACAGACCTCCCCCCCCTATGGACACCACTATAGCTCCAGGTTTGGATGGCAGTGAGGCCTTGAGTTCATGCACAATGCTGGAATGGCCTTTCCTAAGAGATTTTTTTTAACAGCTTTTCAATTCTTGTGAAGTCCAAAATCATGAAAATATAAAAAACATAAGGTTGTACGTGATCAAACCACTTGAGTTCATTTCTTAAAAATGCTATATTTACAAACTCACCAGACTAGCGGATGGTTGAACGGGTGTATTACAGTAAGACCTTCACTTTCAGCCAAACGTAGGGCCTCAGCGTTTGCATCATCCCATACCTACAATATCAGATAAAGATCTGTCATGTATATATGATTTAGAGCCGGATAAGATGGCGTAACTGCGTAATATCTAGAATAAAGGCATTTAAGATAACTGTGGTGGTACTTTGCTCTTGCCTTGCCCGCAACTTTGACCATAGCTCCCTGGTCCTTAAGTTTCTGAGCTACCAGTTGGGGCGTTGACGAGGGCAAAACAATGGTGGCTGGCAGCTTGAGTTTTCTTGCTGCATATGCTGTGGCCATACCAGCATTACCACCTATACACACAGAGACAGAGAAAATGTTTGAAATATAATTTTCATCACATACTTTTGTTAAAAGCATAATCTGATATGTTCAATAAACAAGTGAGAATGTGAAAATGTTAGTTTATTTAAAGCTTATTTTCTAAAGGGCCCCAGGGCCAAAAGTGCCTGCAGTTAAGAAACACCCTTATACAAATGGAAATACAATTCAATGTTTACCATTTTACTCACCTGAAGAACAAATGACACCTTTTGACTTGTTTGAACTTGCAACCTTACAAAAGGAATAAAAATCAATTCGAACATCAGAGTAATATGCAATCGTTCCTTTAATGAGCGCTAGAGGGGAGTGCGAGCGCACAATAGACTACTCGCCGTAAACCTTCACGTTTGTCTTGTTAAAACTTGATATTATCCATTCTAATTTTGAAATTTAACGCGTTATAACATTTACAATTATGGGGTTTCATTCATTTTAAGAAACGCAGACATATTTTTTCCTCACATTTTGACACATGTATCCTATTCCACGGATTTTGAAGGAACCGGTGGGCTGCGAGCCCTCCATCTTCAGATACACGGTGGTCCCGATCTGCTTAGACATGGCCGTGCTCTCGAGAAGTGGAGTGACGACATGAAATCCAGTTTGCTTTGACATTTTTCTCAAAATTTTCTGAAATGCAAACAGTTAATAAGGAAAGAAGTGGACTGGTGTCCGGTCACGGTGGGTAAATGCATGAAGCGCACAAACATTTGATAGGTTTTCCGCGTTTGAAAGCTGGTTACATCTGGTTTTCTTAAGTCTTAGGCAATCATATTCCGTTTAAACATCAAATATACAGACAAGGCGTCCACTCACCTATTGCGTCGCGGTGTCATATGACTCTCTTGAACGAGTATTGCATGGAAGTTCAAAGTTCGTTTAATGAAAATAAAGTAACCCAAGCACTAATCAACGAATGTCCAAGACCTTTAGATAAAACATGACAGCTTGCACAGGATCGATATGCCCATCCCTACACGGTGGTCCCGATCTGCTTAGACATGGCCGTGCTCTCGAGAAGTGGAGTGACGACATGAAATCCAGTTTGCTTTGACATTTTTCTCAAAATTTTCTGAAATGCAAACAGTTAATAAGGAAAGAAGTGGACTGGTGTCCGGTCACGGTGGGTAAATGCATGAAGCGCACAAACATTTGATAGGTTTTCCGCGTTTGAAAGCTGGTTACATCTGGTTTTCTTAAGTCTTAGGCAATCATATTCCGTTTAAACATCAAATATACAGACAAGGCGTCCACTCACCTATTGCGTCGCGGTGTCATATGACTCTCTTGAACGAGTATTGCATGGAAGTTCAAAGTTCGTTTAATGAAAATAAAGTAACCCAAGCACTAATCAACGAATGTCCAAGACCTTTAGATAAAACATGACAGCTTGCAAAATTATGTAATGTAGGTTAAACTAGGGCAAGTTACTCATTCATGAGACAAAGTGCGCAATGATCCTGAAAGTGAAAAACCTAAAACTGCCATATGGACATTTTTATGAACATATTGCTAACGGCTTGCTGATTGTTTTTACTTCTAAGGTTATGATAAGCATTTCTTTTCAAGCTAAATAATTAAGTTAAAAAAACAAGTTCATTAATACAGTAAAACACATTCAAACACTTCAGTAATATCATGCAATGAACTTCACAACAAGGCATCAGTATTGCATTTATATTTCGAGACTGAAACCCCAAATGAATTTTTAATCTGTGCAATAGACAGCATCACTCATACTCCTGTACAGAACACAGGATGTGAAAAATCCAGTCAATACAACATGTGACTTTGTCCCAATATGGAAATTTTATTGTGCACATATACATGACATGTTGCATAAATGGCTCTTGTATGGCAGCACAAACACTAGGCAGATCCTGCCGGTTTTGACAGCCATATAAGCCTATATCAAGCTATTTAAATAATTTATTTTTATTTCAATTAAATAAACAACCCTTAAAGAGGGAAAAGATCATGTAGCATAAAAAAATAAAAAATAAAGCCTGGCTTAAATTAAGCATAGGAATATAGGATTTATGTGATATGTTGTCAATATCCCCTGGTTGATGGAAAACAGCCACTGCATTAGTTTTTATGGCATCAGTTTTCTTTCCGAATCCTTTTAAAACTCAATTCCTCATAGACAACTACACAATTTCACCTCCTCAAGCCACATAATCCTCCACACTTATACGTTTCCAAGCCAGTCCACTTCCTTATTATCCATCAGTAGCTTGACCAGCCTCAAGGCCTCTTCTTAACACTTTCTAGCACCTTCCTTCCTTTTTCCTGAATCAGCAACTTCCTAACCGTGGGAAATGAAACATCAGTCCCTTCGGTTTCCTTTTTGCTTGATAAAAACCATAGAGCACAAAACACTGGAATCCAAGACTGCATACTCTGTCACCAACTCTTATCATCACATCCACATCCCATTCTGACAGTTACATCCCACTCTGAAACACTCACACACACATATACTCAGGAGGTTTGCACTGTGGATGAGGATAGAAAAGCTAACATTTTCCTCAACAGAGATATGGGTAAGAGGGACACTGCAAAAACAACACATCATAGTGACGAATAAAATCTGGGATGCAAACAGAAGACCTCTGAATTCCCCACTGTTGGGTAAATCCATCTTGTCCGACACCAGACATGCGCCATCATCTTGCCACTCCTGTGGGCTCTGTGTTGTGGTCACGGGCCACGGCAAAGACAAGCAGAGCGCCATCCCGCAGCTTCATGCCAAGTGCTGTTACAGGAGGTTGCGCTGTCTCTTCTGGCCACCTATGCCAAGGAACGTTGCCTGGGTTTGATCCTTGGGTACAGCTACAATGACAACAGATTTGATTTTTTCCTCACTTTACAACAAATACAATGTGTTAAACAAATTCAAAAATAAATGTGTGACTGAACAGATATCCTACCCCTAACAAGTTGCGTGGTACGTAGCCCTCTTTTTCATCAAGTCTGGCCCACCACCACTCTGTCTCGCTGTCATCCCTACGGCTCATGATGGTGAGAGCATCGCCCTCATAGAAGGATAGCTCATCTGCACTCTGAGCTTCATAGTCCCACAGGGCATATACTGTCCCTTTATTCATTACACCCAGTTTCTCCTGCACACCTGGAGGGGAAACAAAGAAGAGTAGAATTAAAAAATCATTTACAGCCACTATTCTAGAAACGCACCCTTAACAATAAAAATAACAACACCAGTGATTGCTATAGATATTACCATATAGAAACTGAGAGCACTGGACATAACCCTCCTCCATCTCTTCGCACTTGTCTGCTGCCGTCTCCACGTCACTGATAGTAGTGGCAAAAATGGCAGCTCCAGACTCCACCAGCAACTTGCAAAGATGAACATTATTGCATGAAGCTGCACAGTGCAGGGGCGTCCTGATCACAAGTGAAAAAGAGTTAGCATCTGCGAACTTCACTTAATAAGAATTGGTGTTTGTATATAAAATGACGGTTATTCCCTAATGCAGACAAATGTGAAGAGATAAACCATCAGACCAAAGTGATAGGCCTCACCATCCATCACTATCTGCTACGTTGACATTGACCCCAAAGTCCAGCAGGAATTTCACAATATGGTGGTGACCTGCACATACTGCATTATGGAGAGGCGTGATACCTTCATCATTTGGAGTGCTAGGATTGTCCACCTGAGGATGGGTCAAACAAACATGTCGATGTGAAAACAGTTGACAACCTCCTACTGAGCCTAGTTCAAGCATACAAAGTAAGTGTAAGGGGCGTATGGCAGCTGAATTGTACCTCATAAATAATCCTTTGCACCAAATCAAACTCTCCCTCCAAAGATGCATCCAAAAGCAGTGCAAGAGGATTGAACTTGACCCTCAAGCCATGACCTGTCCTCTCAGAGCCGGGCTTCTTCAAGTTGGTGCGCTTGAGCTGAAATGTGAAAAATTCTATTAGCTTTCAAATTTTGAAGAATATGAATATTCATATATTGAATAAAATGTCTGAGCAAAAAAAGTCAAACAATGAATACATTCCTATGCAGAGATAAGCAAACAGCACTGTCTAGATGGCAAACCAAGATTAGGATTAAGGATTGCTGCAGGACTCTTTATATGAATTTTGCTTGCAAATCTCACAAGACTTTTTGCAGAATAAGGGGTTACATCTAGACATAACCCTAGCCAACAAGCTAGTGCCAACTCACCGTAGATACACCAGGAAGAGTGCCTGGGTGTGCTGCGGACCCTCAAGCCATGACCTGTCCTCTCAGAGCCTGGCTTCTTCAAGTTGGTGCGCTTGAGCTGAAATGTGAAAAATTCTATTAGCTTTCAAATTTTGAAGAATATGAATATTCATATATTGAATAAAATGTCTGAGCAAAAAAAGTCAAACAATGAATACATTCCTATGCAGAGATAAGCAAACAGCACTGTCTAGATGGCAAACCAAGATTAGGATTAAGGATTGCTGCAGGACTCTTTATATGAATTTTGCTTGCAAATCTCACAAGACTTTTTGCAGAATAAGGGGTTACATCTAGACATAACCCTAGCCAACAAGCTAGTGCCAACTCACCGTAGATACACCAGGAAGAGTGCCTGGGTGTGCTGCGGTGTCCTGCTCTGCAGGGGAATGAGGTTCTGGTACTGGGCTAGGTTCTGTGTCTGTAACATTTGTGTGGTTGTTGTTATGATTGTCCTCATGGGTGTCCTTAAGAGAATGGTCTGAGGCATCAGCAGAATGGGCACCCCCTGAGTCACTAGATAGATGTGTCAGCTGGTTCTCATTATCAACAGCTGTTGGTGACACAGAAGAGGTGGGAGGAGGGATTGGGATTTCTGGCTCTGATGAAGGTTCAGCTAAGATGCTTGACTCCATTAGGTTCCCATTGGCAGTGTCCACATTGCCCAGGGTTGTGGCCATGTAGTTCAGAGGACTGTCAGGCTGGTAGAAGGGTGTACCACCCACTCCACTCTCAATGCCTCCTGCAAGGGTGTTGAAGCGCTGATATAGGAGCTTCTGGATGTTAGGTCCACTGGGTCCTTCAGGTTCTGTGATGGAGCTTCGCTTCTTTAAAGGTCGGGGAGCATTGGATAATTTCCTTCTCAGCACCTCCAGGTCAATGTCACTTTGGTAACGGAGAGGGGAGTGGGCCACAGGGGTCAGTTTAGTAGGACTGAGAGGGCGAGGGATGTTCTCCACACTGGGTGGAGGTAAGGGAGTGCTTTCTTGGGCCGCCTCTCTGTAGACCTCATCTGTGGAGGACTGCTGGTAAGGTGGAACTGGAGAAGGAGAAGTGGAGCCTGGTAGGACTGGTTTTCCGTATACTGGAGGCCAATGAAGAAAAGCAAATTCAAAAGAAGGGAACATACATAATCAAAGCTAATTTCCATACCTATGTCTGGGACTGATGCAACAACTTCTTACCTGCTTTAACTGCAGCTCTGCTGCTGGAGTAGTTTTTGGCTGTAGGCTGCTGCAGATACATATTGTAGATTGAGCTGGAGTTCATAGTGGCAGGGCCCTTCCTTGGAGACTGGGGCCGGGACCCCCTGTCTGGAATAAAGGGACGTACTGCCACAGCAAGAGGAGGCTCTGTCCTTTCACCCTGAGGGAATAGAGCTGACCCAGAGTGAGGTGTAGGACTGGGAGGCACTGTTATCCGCTGTTGGATCTGCTGTGAAGAGGAACCAGAGGCAGGGAGTGTTCTCTGCCAGCCTATGGTGCCAGGAGCAGAGCGAGGCAAAGAGCTGGTGGCACAGACTGT